AAGTAGGGCGAATTTTGGTCCATAACTCTGTTTCTTCCTTGGTGAGGAAGGCAAATCCCGTTGTTCGGCAGCAGCAGCTTTTGCTGAATTTCGAAAAAACTCCATGAAAGACATTCCTTTGGAAAGTTTCATGAATCGCGCCGAAACCGTCTCCCGGATGATGGCTTCTATTGATATGTTCTTAGCTTTTAAATGTATATCTCTTGCTGGTTCTCAGGCGTACAAAACTAGTTTTCTTTCTCTTTAAAACTTACCTTTTTTACAATATGGTTTTTCAGCACTCCTAGCTGAAAAATCATTAATAAATTTCCTCGTAATTAGATTCTTAATATGTTAAGCACATACATGTATTAATTTATGAGTCTTGAAATTGAATAATAAGTAAAACAATTTCGACAGGTGGAAGAGTCTTTAATGAGCGATAACGAAGAGGTATGAACCTCGATTTGCTGTTCGCTTGGAAGAAACGGCGAATTTATAAGAATTTATATTACTCAGTGAATGCTGTAATTTTATTACACGTTGCCGTAAACGTGTATTCCAGCACAAACATCCTCAAGAATACGGAGAATTAATTAATAATTCGATTACGTTGATGATCACAAATTTTCACTCTAGCCTCTGAGCCTCTCATATGGCAACCGAAAAACAAGACACGTCTAAGATCATGCCAAAGTACTACATGCATGAGCAATAATCAGGTAGCTATGCGTCAGGAAAAAATCGTGTTTCTTCTGCGTATGCTGCTCATGTCTCATAGAAAATATGGAAAAATGAAAATGCTGCGAACATAATAAACCATGGGTAACGTGAATGAATAATTGTTGAAAAAAAAATCTTGCAATGTTATAATATATAGGGAAAATGCAGCACAGCACAATGACAATAATATTGCATTCAAGATATATGCAAGCAATCCCATTTAATCAAAGTTTTTTGATCCTTACAGAGGTTGAGGTGAATTGCCTACCATATAGGTCTCTTGCATATTTTGTCTGTTATTAACTGCCAATTCGTGCATTTGCACGTTGTTACATAGTGATCAGGAGTACTTTGTGTGAGACCGTCGCTCTGGAATCAGACCCCGTTATTGTTCTACATGAATTGTGGATTTTCATGAAAATCTTTATCACCAGGGTTGCATTCAGGAAAAAAAAACGTTTTAAAATTTTACACTGAATTTTATTTTCGTAGCAATTTATTTTGCACTGAAAAAACTGATTTTCGTGAGGTGCAAAGTGAGCCCTCCTCTGGAGTTTTTACAATCGGTTTGGAACGTGGTTTGCTTCAGTGTGAGCACGAACTGTCCACGTTCACAATTAGCCGGACAATTTTGAACCAAGTTCACTTCTACCACATGAGGTCAAAAACCCGTTGCCTATTTTTCGTCGACCCCTAATGTTCATCTGAATACTGTTGTCTTGATGATGACGTGTGCAGCGTCAAAACGTGCAGGTAAATAGAGGACGTTTCATCCT